ATGATAAGCAAGGTTTTTTCCCTTTCCAAGCCTTCCCAGTCTCACTTTGGAGGCATTAGTTCTGTCCCAGGGTGGGGCAGTCAGTGAGCTACTCTGGTTTGGAGCTGTGGGAAAGGAAGGAGTTCTCCTGTAGGGAGTCTCTGGATATTCTTGCATGGGCAGTGACTCAGGGAGGCAGCCATTGTGGGGGAGGGGCAAGGAAGAAGAAGAAGGGAGAGGAGGAGATAGCTCCAACTGCTGAACTAAAAAAATGAGAAGACCTTGGGCTTTTATCTGTTGGAGCCATCATTAGTGCCAAAAAAAAAAGTAAATAAATAAATAAAAAGGGGAACTGGCCCTCTTTCACTGATATGTCTCAAGCTGTCCTCAGTGTTCATTTCACTTTCTTTTAGCCTATTTAAACTGTGGCACACAGAATAATTTCAGAGTTGGAAGGGATAGTAGGGATCATTTAATTCAAGTCTTTCATTTTACAAAGGAGGAAACTGAGGTTCTGCAAAAATAAATGACTTACTTATCTCTGGCCATACAATTTATGGCAGAAGTATGATTCAAACCTGGGTCTCCAAATCCACTAAACAACTACATTCCCCACTTACCAACTGCTACAGGATTGACCTCTGCCTGTGGCCTTAGTGATGGCCCTGGTGGGAGTCGTGGTATGAAGGAAAAGCGCTAGCTAACTCTGGTGTCAAAGGACATGAGCTCAGCTCCCAGATCTACTGGTTACAACCTTATCATCTTGTACAAGTTATTCCTCTCTCTGGGTTACCCATAAAATGGGGAGGACAGGGTTTCCAAAAGTACATCGACAGGATGGAGCCCGGGGCAGAATCTAAAATATGAAATTCAGTAGGGATAAATGTAAAGTCTTGTACTTGGGTACAAAAAATTAATGTCACAAGCATAAGGTGGGGGAAGCATAGTTAGAAGGCTATTGTTCTAGAAAACCTTTGGGAATGTTTGGACTACAAGCTCAATATGAGTCAGAAGGGTGATGTGGCAGCTGAAAAAGTTAAGGTGATTTGGAGAAAAGAAGCACAGCTTCCAGTAATAGGGAAGGGATAGTCCCATTTCACTCTGCCCTCATCAGATCTCATTTGGAATACTGTTTCAAGCCTTCACAGTTTAAGAAACCATTCATAAGCTAAAGATCATCCGGAGAAAAGCAACCAAGATGGTGCTGAACCATGAGTCCATATCATATGAGGACAGACTGAAAGAACTGGGCATGTTTAACCTGGAGAAGGGAAGACCAAGGGTGGACAGCAGAGTTGTGTTCAAGGATTTGAAGGGGTGGCACAAGAGTGAGGGACTAGCCTTAGGGAAGTTGGTATGGGAGGGGAGAACCAGGAGGAGTTGATGGAAGTTGCCAAAAGGCACACTTGAGCATGATGTCAGCTAAAGCTTCCTAACCATTATTGCTGCCCCAAAGTGGAGTGGGTTGCTTGGAAAGGTAGTGAGTTCTTCCTCCTTGGAGATCGTTCTTTCATGCAGAGATTGGACGACCACTTGGATAACTGAAAGTAGAGATTTGCTTCTTGTATGGGTTGGAGCAGATAACCACTGAGGTCTCTTGCAGCTCCAGAATTCTTTGATTATGTGAGAATCTCTAAAAGTTGTGCCCTGAAATCCTACGAGCAAGGGAAGGCATGTTCATGAGGGCCTCCAGGCATAATCCATCTGTTCCTAGATGCCACAGCATAATTACCACTTCTTCCTCTAGAGCTATATTTTTGTTTGGTTTTTAAAATTTTAATCTATTCTGAACTTAACAAACACAAAAAACCCCATGAGCATTTCCATATATAAAGCAGAACATAAAGAGGATCAGGTATGGATGATGAATTTCTGTTTTATACCTCTTGTTTCTTAAAAAATATATAATAAATATATAATTAATCTCACATTACTTTTAAAGCTGTTCTGCTGTGTTTCCTTCTGTACTCTTCTGTTCATTTAAATCCCATTTTTCATGACCCCATTTGGGATTTTCTTGGCAAAGATATTGAAGTGGTTTGCCATTTCCTTCTCCAGCCCATTTTATAAATGAGGAAACTGACACAAACAGGGTTAAGTGACTTGCCCAGGGTCACACAGCTAGTAAATGTCTGAGGCCAGATTTGAACTCAGAAAGAGGAGTACTTCCTGACTCCAGGCCTGGCATTGTGCCACCTAGCTTTCCTCTTTTTTTTTTTTTCATTATTGCTGCTAAATTGTTTTCTGGGTTCTGTCAACTTCAATCTGCATCAATGTATAAAAATCTTCCCAGAATTCTCTGAAATAGTCTCTTTGGCCATTTCTTATAGGGCTATAGTACTCCATTACATTCACGTACAACAATTTAGCCCCAAATGATGGGCACTCACCCAGTGAGTGATGGGCACCCAACTCACTTACTTTCTTTCCCTCTTTTAAATTCTCTTTTAAGGGGGCAGCTAGATGTCGCAGTGGAGCACCAGCCTAGGAGTCAGGAGGGCTGAGTTCAAATTCGGCCACAGACACTTGACTCTTACTAGCTGTGTGACCCTGGGCAAGTCACTTGACTCCGACTGCCTCACCAAAAAAGCAAAATAAATAAAGATACAATAAATAATTTAAAAAAACATTTCACAATTCTCTGTTAAGGAGGCATTCTCTGAAGCCAGTTTGTTTTGCTTGCAACCATTCCCTCCTCTTATTATTTGTTCTTTTTTCTTTATCTCTGTTTGCTATATTGCTAACAGCAAACTCTGTGTGTGTGTTGTATGTTCAATCCTTCTTTGTCAGCTTCGGGGCCCAGTGTGGTTCCTCTGAGGTCTATCTTGACCCCAGGCCCTGGACCCTATCCACTTCACCACCCAATTTCTACACCAAACGTGGTGTGTCTTCAACACTCCTTTGTCCGTTAAAGGGGAGGGAGGTTGGTCTGATTCCAGTTATTTCTCAACTCTTTCTCTTTGAACACTTAAGAGAAATAGTTAAGTTCCACCACCTTTTCTCTCTCTCTTTTTAAACACCAGTGCATTCTTTTTTTCCCTTCCCTTCCCTTTATCCTCTGAAAACCAAACCACCTGCAGGTCCTCTGTTACCCTTAGGTCCCTCAATACCCTTTGAAGACAATAAGGTTGTGAACAAAATTTTGTTTCCCTTCTCCCATTAGAATGTTAGCACTTTATCACTGTATAAAATCTTTTCCTCTATGTATAGATAGAGGCAACCTTAACTGAGATGCAAGTTTATGGGGAGTGGCTTTTTTTGTGATCTGAGGCTCTCGGTCCCAATGACTACCACCTGCTCGGCTTCCATTTTTGCAATGGAAATGTCAGTGTCATTCCAATCCTCCCACCCACACTAGGGGCGGGATGGGGTGGTGGCTCTCTCTACTCCTTCCTAGCACCCCGCATTTGACCGGGTTTCCTCTCAATCCCTAGTAACCTGGAGACAAAGGATTAATTAATGGTTCAAAGGGAGTTTGTTTACAGATCGTTAGAAACAGTGATCTGCTAGGGAAAAGAACCCAGGCACTTGGGGCGCTGTCTACACCAGTGCGGACTACAATTCAACAATCAGAGCCCCACCACGCCGAGGAGCTCGGCACACCAAATATGGTCACATCTGAAAAGCTGCCTCCCAGGAAAATATTGTTCTTGTTTATTCCACCAGGAGCGCTGGGCTGTAGGGGTTCCAAAAACTCGGTTCTTTGGGGTCCAGGCAATTCCTCGGGTCTGCTCTATCCTCTTGTTAAGGGAATGTGTGGCCCGTCCTTAGCAAATACCTCGAGTGGGAGCCTGGGTTCCGCGTCTTGTCTCCTCCCTCCCGGTCCCTTTGGGGCCGCGGTTCCCAACCCCCAGCTCCCAGACTCCTCCGTCTCAGTCCACCAGCACTTTATTAAATAGGGCCACCCTCTGCCTTTGATCCAGTCCCAGACCCTGTCCAAGGCAGTGGTAAACTCAAAGGAATGTAGATCCTGAACCCTGAGGGAGGGAAGGGAGGGAGGCTTCAGCGAACTTGTCGGCCTCGGCTCCCGGGAGGAGTGGGGAGTAGGGAGTGGGGGGGGGGAGATTTTGCCTCCTCTTACCCAGTAAAGTACCCATCACGCCCAGGGCTAGCAGGAGCCCAGGAGGAGGAGGAGGAGGAAGAGGAGGGGCGAGCGGGGGCAGGCAGTCTCTGGACACGGAGGTCATGCATAATTCATCAGCTAAACTTTCGGCCCCGCCCCTTTTCTGAGGGTTGGAGTTTTCCCTCAACTTTGTTTATGGGACAGTCCGGGAGCAGCAGTCTCCGTCTCCTCCTCCTCCTCCTCCTCCTCCTCCTCCTCCTCCTCCAGCTCTGGGATAATCCAAGCTTGATGCTGGCTTAGATGGAGGGGAGGATGTGAGAACGGAAACCCCTCTGCCAGGTCAGAAGTCAAGTCCCGAGCTGGAAATCCCGGTCCTGTGTCCACTCCCACTCTGCCCCCAGCCTCTAAGCAACTAGCCTGGGAGCAGCTGACGGACGAACCGACGGATCGACGGACCCCGAGGCCCCCAGGGAGACCTGACTTTGCCAAGTTGGGATCCGGACCGCGCGCCGGGCTCCCAGTTTGCGCCTTGGCCCGCTTGGCCTGGGCCGGCTGCCAAGGCTCCCTTGGGCTCGGTCGCTCCGGGATCGGCTCCTTCGCGGAGCTGAACAGCCTCGGGCTTCGGGGCTTGTAGTGCTCGGCGGTCCTGGCCCTGTCGGCTCGGGAAGCCGCGAACTCTTCCCGGACACTGAACAGCCGCCGCACGTCCTAAGCTGCACTCCCAAGCGCCCTCCCCCTTCTCCTCGAACTTGTCCTCCTCCCGGGAACTTCTGGGCCACTGCAAAGTTGCATAATTGTCGAGGAGTTGAGGAGTTCTCCTCCCCTCCCCCACCGGGCCGGGCTGACCGGCGAAGCAAGGTCTGCTTGGGTTCCTCGGAGAGGGCATCGATCCCCGTCTCGTTCCTCCGCGAGTCGGCTCTCTGAAGTTTTCATTTTTAGGGGCTGATCCCCAGGCCGGCCCCCGCCCCCGCCCCCGCGCCCGCCCCCTTTTAATAAACCTGCAGCTCGGTGTGTAAGTGTGTGAGTTAGCGAGTGTGAGATTGGGAGGCGCACGATGAATCCCGCTTCCGTACCCCCTCCTCTGCCGCCCCCGGGGCAGCAGGTCATCCATGTCACCCAGGACCTCGACACTGATCTCGAAGCGCTCTTCAACTCCGTGATGAACCCCAAGCCGAGCTCTTGGAGGAAGAAGATCCTGCCCGAGTCATTCTTCAAGGAGCCCGACTCCGGCTCGCATTCCCGGCAGTCCAGCACCGACTCGTCCGGCAGCCACCCGGCGCGGCTGAGCGGCGGCGGCGGCGGCGGCGGTGGCGGCGTCGGCGTCGGCGTCGCCGGGGGTGCCCAGCACGTCCGCTCGCACTCGTCGCCCGCCTCCCTGCAGCTGGGTACCGGGGCCGGGGCGGCGGCCAGCGCGGCGCAGCAGCACGCGCACCTCCGCCAGCAGTCCTACGACGTGACCGATGAGCTGCCGCTACCTCCCGGTTGGGAGATGACCTTCACCGCCACCGGCCAGCGGTACTTTCTCAAGTGAGTGGCGGGACTGCCTGACTCTTTCCCGGGGGTCCGGGAGGGATCTGGTGTGTGAGTGCGTGGGCATACAGGTATGTGTGTGTGTGCGTACACAAACGCGTACGTCTACGTGTGCTTGAGTGCATGTGTGTACTGTGTGCCCAAGTGACAA